ATATCGGGATATATCGTGTCGTGACCCCTCTGTCATGATATGTATCATATCGCCAAATTCTTGCCAATACACAGCCGTAATGAACATCTTAGTTCTTAGAGGCTGCGTCTCAGTTAATGTGTTGCAGCCGACCGCAGTCTACATCAGCTGTAGGCTGCTCATATCAGCTGCATAAACTACTGTGAGATGAGATGGTCTAGTCTAAGGAGGGTGTGTGTTTGTGTGACCATGCGCTGCCTCGTTTCCATGATGATACGCTTCAGTTGTTTTTTTTCAAGGTATAACTTCACAAAATTAAGTTTTAATAGAAAAATGTTACAAGTAAATAAATAGAAATCATTAATAATTTGGGTTTAGCTACTTGCGACTGCATTTTATTTAACATCTCATTGCAACAAAAGTCTCTTCAGACACGTTGTTTAACTTACATTTTCAGTCTGTGATAAGTTTCCAAACTGTCACTAAAACAAAACAAAACAAACAAAAAAACCTTCACTGTCTTTGTTCTTCTGTTTAATTTGCTGACAGCACAATGAATTCTGGGATTCCGTCGGCCTTGTAGGATATTCAGATACTCGCCTATGTTTTTGGGGTTTTGTCAGCCGCATGAGCAGGCGCCTAGTGACGTCAGAGGCCGACAAACGCACTCCATGTCGGCTGCAACCCATGAACTGCGACACAATCAAAGTCAGCTGAATTCAATATGGCTGCCAAAGTCAACCTTGCGAGACACAAAACTGGTCAATAGTGGTGGGCACCAGTCTGCTAAAACGCAAATCTGCTAATTGCAGACCTAAATATTTCGTTTGTGCTTTAGCGGTCTTGCTAATTTTTATAATTCATAAGCGGTTTTGCGCTTTCTAGAATTAAGATGCAGTACAGCTAATAACTAATTATCTACCAATCATTTTTATCTTGAACAGCAGAAGGTATGGCTGTCAATAAATCACAACACGTGATCTGTCCTACAGCACCCCTCCCAGATAAACACAATTATTGAGAAGGTATACATCTTTGCTGACTGTTGCTCTCGGTCACAGGTGTCATTTCCCACAAAGCTTTGTGTCTGCTTATGTAGCAGGAAGACAATGTTTAGTACTCCCTTTCCCAGCAAAAACAGTAAACGTTTGTTATCAATACTAAAATTTTGTATGTATTGATTTATTTTACTTTACAATCAGAACTCTTTTTTTAAAAATAAGTTTAAACGCTGGAGCTCAATACTTGACGTAACTGGTCGAAGCAATCCGCCAACGGGGTTAGACAGACATCTAGTGGTCAACTGGWGCAACTACATGGAAAACTTTCGTTTCCCGTCACAAATCAAATCTGTTATGTACCCAGAATGCATCACTTCAGTTTTCCAATAAACAGTTTTAAAATTGCTTCATTGATGCTTCTTTAATGAAAAATCTACAACAAACAAAAGAAAAAGACAAAGAAG